GTTCCGCCACAATTGGTTTCTTGGTATTGTTAGGCGACACTGGGCAGCTGGTACATAATTGAATAGAGTTGTTTAAACATTAGTTTAACAACAAGTAAAATCAAATACCTATAGAATGATAGGTTTATTTTTTGTGAGTGTAAAACACTTAAATACACCAGTTCAATATAATTAAAAACTGATTTATTAATGTTTTTAAGTTTTCGAATACATTAAAGAAAGTGATTAGAAGCCATTAATCAGAAATATATTTGACTCTCAAATACTGATAATTGTAATAATTTACTAATCACACAAAAACTACCAATTTTTACTTTTAACGGTTGTTATCAACCTATAGAATTTAAAGGCTACCGTGTTTGTTATGATAGTTTGGTTACTGAAATGGTAAAACATTCATCTGAGCTTATAATCTAGTCTGAAAACATGTGGCGATTACTTGAAATATTTATTAATTGACGTTTACCATATGCAAACACTTAAATACATATGAGTACAGGTATACGTACATTATCTCCTTTATACGGAATTAAAACCTAAATAACTTTAGCGATGACTTTTTTGTTGACGTTAAATGCAAAGCTACTCAATGGGCTGGCTTTGTTCAGCTCACACCGGATATCGAAACCCGTTTGTGGCGTTATAAGCCCTTAGGCTTACTGCTGAGCCATCGGAGTCGCGATTATTTAGTAGCATAAATAATATAGCATGTCGACTTGACCATTTATTTTCCCTTAATTACCATGATGTGGCGCTGCTAGCAAAGGATTTTATTTTGTTTTGAATTTCACGCAAAGTTACATGAAGACCATCTGCGCTAGCGAAGGAATGGTGATCTGGCATATACCTTGTTTATGAAACTTTTTGCTTGTAAAATGGGGTAAACAATATTGATATTTAACACATTGCGGTTTAATATTGAATTTACGTAGTCTTGTTCATTTATTTAAAACAAACTACATTGTGAAGCAAAATAATATAAACTTTATGTTTGAGAACTTCGCATACTGTTCTACACAGAATAGTCATAATTTGCATTTTACCAAAATATAAAACCATAAGTCTGATAAAGTTGTAGGAAAACACTTTTAGTTAATACAGTTTTAAAAATTTCCTATACTCCAACCTCAAATTAATAAACTTTCAAAAAATGTACCTTTGAGAAATAAAAAGAGAAACGTTAATTACAATACTCCATTTTAGTTTTAGAAAGAGCTTACAAATCGAATGGAGTAAAATAATTAACATGTTAACTTAAACATTCCGAGCATGTTTAACAATGGAAATACTGACGAAAACAATGCAGTGATTACAATGCTTTATTTGGATTATTAGGAATGTAATGTTATCAGTGCAACAAATATGATTCACAGGCTTGATGGATCTTTCTATTTAACGGAAATACTCGTGAAATCTTATGTAATCATTGTTCATACAATGCCGGATTTTTCGGAAATTATAATGAAGATGTTTTAAAGATGGACTATTGTGTAGTTTAATGTCCGCATTACGTGCGATTGAAATACTACTATGTATTCTTCACGAAGTCCCTATAGAATGTAGTGTTAAAAAGTGTAAGTCTAATAATAATTTCTCATAACAAATATAATTAATTATAATAATGCTTCGCCAACTTAGAAAAAGCGTTCACATCAAACTGATATCCGATTCTTTCGCAATCTTGAACTGCATGACGTATTGTAAACGACAGCAGCGCCACAAGTACGAGTAAATGTCTTTAGGCATTTATCGCTTACAGGATGTGCAATAATTGACTAACTCTATTCCATATCTACACACTATACTTAGCTGTATTAATTCAACTCGGAGATTGTATGTTAGAACTTACAACGCTAGAAACCGCGTATCGATACCCGTGGAGGGCAGAGCACAGATAACTCGCTGTGTAGCTTTGTGCTTAATTAGAAACAAATAAACAAACAAATCATTTACCTGTTTTAAACCAGTATAGCGCGCCATCTTTCCACCAAAACATATTAATTTTTAAATATTTAAAAAAAATAATAAAAGAATTAGAAAAACGAAAGACAGTATTTATTTTAAAGCAATAGTTAAATACTTAAGGGTGACTAAAATAATTATACACTATATTTTCGGGATTGAAAATCAAAGTGAATTCCACAGTTACATCATGCTGCGAAACCATAAAATAACGTTTTCACTATTCCTTAATAAAATATCAAAGCCACTTTAACGTTTTAATGCCTAAGTAATTTTATTTGTTATTACTAATTTTTATCTCACAGTTGAATAAACTTCAATTTTAACTACTTTTCATTACAAACAAAAACTATATGTAAATTACCTTAAATAAATCTAATATTTTACTATTTTATCGTGAAATATTTTTAAATCAATTTAGAATGATTTAAAAAACAATCCGGAGATGTGTGAGTTCATATTCTCGATCACAAACTTTCGATTTGAGACCGCTTTCGTATGTGTAGTCAAATTCAAGATGGCTGAAATCGTGATTAGTGTTAGGGCGTATTGTAAGATGTTATTGCACATAATGAAGTATCCCCACTGTGCAGTAAACGGTATATTCTTAGCAGAGCAAAAGAAATCTCATAAAAATGGGCAGTCAGTCATAAATATTGTTGAATGTATTCCTCTTTTTCATATGAGTTTAGGATTGACTCCGATGTTAGAAGTTGCATTCATGCAGGTAAATGTGTTATGTCCCATAGTACCAAGCCTAAGTACAGCAGTAATTCTAAATGGACTTCGTACTTGTAGTTGTACTTTTAACTAAAGTTTAAACGCGTTGTCAAATATAAGTGTAAACTGATACTGTGATATCAGTTATAATAACTTATTTTTCACATGTTTATATTAAACCGGTATTAGTAAGCTTGTCAAGATCCAGCTGTATAGCCAAAAGACTATTGTTTAACTTTAAGGAAGATTAAAGCCAATTTAAATGTGAAAGTGATATAACCTATGTATGTACAACGAGGGACTATATCGTCCTTCAACTTTCAAGATTGTACTTTAAAACCACTCTTTTTCAGGAAATTATTTATTTCCCTCTTACTGTAACAGTGTAAAGCCAAGTAAAAATAAAAGTTTAATGTCTAAAGTTTTCGAAAAAGGAAGTAAGAGGCCCATTTTTCTGTTTTTTTAATAACCTCTTTTGAAGTTTGCACCCTTTTTTTCCATGATTGTTGCTTGTTTTCAAAGGGTCCATGTCAAACAAAAGTCTTTTTTTTGTTTCATTTTTTCATCAAAAATTATACAGAATTTATGACGTAAAGAAAAAGGGCAAAATGAATCAACTGTGTTCATCTCATTTTTTATTCAGAAGTTTTTGTTTCGTTGTATGATCGAAGAAGGATAATTAAAAAAAGGAAAAAAAAATTGCCCCCCCAAAAAGTGGGAGAGGTAACTGCAAAAAAGGAAGTTGGAGGGGATACTAAACATGTATTTATTTTTACTTGGCCTAAAGTGTTGACCTATAGTACTGTCAATTCCATTTATAGGAAAATAAAGATGTCATAACAGGGGCTTAACCTATCGTTTTCAAATCTTAAACTTGAAACTCTCATCCTAGTATTAGATTAAGCATCAAATTAAAAAATAATTATAGCTAGCCATTGTATGGTTTTTCACTGCAATAGCCACATATTTTTCTTTCATTGAATGAATGTTATCTAAAAGAGCAGTGAACTGTGTTTAGCAGTAGTGTAACATTTTTAAATACAAGTTCAAGCTGAAGTCTGTCTACAGATAAATAGATTTGAATGTGTTGTGTAGCAATTTCGTGATACAAAAGTAATAAGCAAAAAAACTCGGCTACATTACAAAAAATGTAACTCAAACACTTGTCAAATAGTTGACTGTTCTGATCCTGAGAAATAAAACTCAACTAATCAGAAGTGCTCAAATCTGTTGGTTTTAAATCTATGTGTAGACTGATGTGTAGCTATTTTACCCACTGTTTAATTTACCTGCTATAGTTTGAATGCTTATTTGCAACATGTGTAGGTATAAGAAAGCAATGTTTTTCTTTTGATTGTACACCTTTTCACATATGTATACATGTTGTATTTTGGAATAAGATTTGCATAACATACCAAACATGATTTTTTAGGCCTGATTAGGCTAATTATTCTCATGTAACATAACATACCAAACAAGATATTTTAGGCCTTATTGGGCTAATTGCTCTCATGTGACATAACATACCAAACAATATTTTTTAGGCCTTATTAGGCTAATTGCTCTCATGTGAAATAACATATCAAACATGATTTTTTTAGGCTAATTGCTTTCATGTGACATAACATACTAAACAAGATTTTTTAGGCCTGATTAGACAAATTACTCTCATGTAACATAACATAAAAAACAAGATTTTTAGGCCTGATTAAGCTAATTGTTCTCATGACAGGTGGAGTATTACTGCAAATCAAAAGGACTAGAAATAGCTGGATATTACCAAGGAAATGAAAATTTTCAAGATTCAAGGTATTGTAAAAAATAATTAATGCAATATATATATATATATATATGTTGAAGTAATTTTACCACAGTTGTAAATGATTAGTAAGTCTTTGTGCATGTGTCAAACAAATTTACATCTGTATTTTTTAGAAAAGTAATTTTGGCTGTTTAATGCTTGAATATAAGAAATACGTGTACAAGTTTATATCAAGTGTAGTGTTAGATTGAGTGTTAAAATATTTTACAGCCACCCATTCTGTTTCTTTTACTGCAATACCCTTGTGTACTGGCTGTCCATAAGTTCTATCGTACACGTCTTTTTTTTTTATGCAGACACAGCAGTTAGCCCGATGTGGCTTTGCTATAAGAAACTACACATACACTTTAGAACTTTACAAGCTGAGTTAATGAAGTCTTGTTCATTTATTTCCATCTGGAAAGAAAAAATGGTTGTCCTTTCTCCCTCGGACTTCTCTCTGCTTCCATTCGTGAGGTCGGAAGTGTGTTGTCACTTGAGGCATTAAGTATAATTGAACAAATTATTAATGGCAATATTTTACAGTAAACAGAAATACTGTTCACATAAAACTAACACAAATTTGAATTATTATATATTTATTATAGTTTAGTAAACATAATATACATATACTTTCTAGTGTATTTTTTCAGGCCAAAACTTTATCGTACCATTATTTTATCAACTGTGTTCTTTAGATTGTTAACTATTTTGAAATCTAATTGTGTGGTTGAATGTGTTGCATAAAATTAAATGATTGAAACATCATTATGGTTAAGATGTTAGACAGTTAAATGGCTCGTAATTCTTCCATGTGCATGGACTTGTTTTAAGTTCACTATATAGTTTCTTGGGAATTACTTGCTATTTGTATGTGTAGTTTACTACCGTTAATTGATACGGTTTTAACAAGCAGTTCGGTTTTTTCAGCCCGGATGCCGTTGCTTATCGAGTAGCCGAGAAAGTTCAAGAAAATTTTAGTGACACGTGTCTTGTTATCGTAAGTAAAAAAATTCTACGTTAATATTTCTCTTTTGAACATATTCATCTTGTATTATTGATACAAATCAAAATGAAAACTAATATATAATTTTTCTTTTTAATTTGTGAAATGAAAAAAATGGCAATAAAATATTTATTAAGAAGCACAAGAAATAGTTATTTGAAAACTTAACTATTGAATTACTGTATATAAATGTTTTTATTGGAAGTGTTTTATAAACCTGACTTATTTGAGGGATTCAATTAAATATCTCCAAGTTTTGTATTGTTACTTTAATGTATTTTTATAAATGCTTAATAATTAAGGTAATTGTTGTGAGAAAAATCTAGGTTCATTTTGTTAATTATATTTTTCTAACATGTAAAAAACACTACTAAATTTTTATAGTACTGTAGATATACACGGTTTATTTGTTTTTGGGGGGTATCATGCAGCACGTTCAGTGAGACAGTTTCATTACTCGTTTTTTTTTTCTATCTTCTTTTTTTTTTTTTTAAAGGTGGATAACCAAAAAATTTCTGTTGAGTGCAAAGAAATTGGTTTCCAGCTGTATCAACACAGTGATAATAAGTGGAAGTTGAAAGATAAAACCAGGTTTGTTTCATGTTTAGGACAAAAAAATGTTATGCTGTTACCAAGGTAACTCAAATTTGACATAAGTCAGATGTATTTTTTA